ATGTATGTGTGTGTGTGTATGTGTACGTGGATGATTGTGTGGGTTTGTATAGAATTAATCAATATTACCATCGTAATAAATACTTTGTTCTCATTCAGTCGGCTGTGTTTGCCACCCATCTAAGCCACTAAATGTCATCTGATATTGTAATGCGACGTTTGCGCCGAATGCAAATGTACAAATAGGAGGGGAGTTTCTCACTTCAGTCTGCGCAGCCTTTTTGTTTAGGATCTTCGAGAAATTTTTAAATTCAATAAGTACAACCTTAATGAACTCCCACGAGAAAAATCTGATTTTTGGCTTAGGACACATCTGCTATAGAAGCTGTGGTAATTTTGTAGCTCTTTGTCAACTAATCGCTGATTAGGATTTCGCCTTCATGAAATTACCTTAGGCAAAAATTTTGTGTGAAAACGGTGGCAAGGAGTATCCTTTTTCCACTACTCGTTATGTCGGTATTGGACTTATTTTCTTAAAATTAATGTATTCTGCCTTTCAGATCAACATTCCTGTTCTGATAAACATGTACAGGTTCATTTGCTTATTATTGCTTACTCCAGGAATCGGTAATGCACTTAAAATTAGCAAAGGAGGGACAAACCGTGGTTCAAGTGCAGCAAGATTGAATCCAGTCAGTTTCCAGATTGTTTTTCTTGTTATTGAATTTGAGTATGATATTAAATATGTTGAATATGTCCTTTAGTTTTTCTCTATGTTATAAAGGTTAGCTGTTTCCATTACTATTATTGTTTTAGTATAACCCAAGCAGTAATTTTTTAGAGGAAACATTGACAGTCAGGGGGATTGGTTACCTTTATAGGATGAAGGGAGCAGGAAAGTTGTATGATATCCACTAACTTTGCTAATTTTCAGCCTCGATTAAGTAGTCATTCGTTACCTGGAGGTTATCAACCACAGCGAGGTGCTTATCAACCACAGCCAGGTGCTTATCAACCACAGCCAGGTGCTTATCACCCAGAGCCAGGTGCTTATCATTCACAGCAGAGTGGTTATCGCTCGCAACAAAATGAATACCATAGACCAGCATCCGGAGATTATCATCCCAGTCAAGCTGGTGGTTATCATCAGCAGGGTGGTTTTGCACCCAACCAGATGAAGTAAGCGTTTAAAAGAGAACAAAGAACTCTAAAGTCTGAGAAGGATCGGGAAAACTAAGGAATTTGCGAAATCAGTATTTTAGTTTTCTCTCAGTCATTCGGCTCACTTCACAATATAATGGGTAGTATGATGGTTTAAAATGCCTGCAAAATATATTGATTAGCAGGTGAAAATCTATTCTTCCATTTTCTAAATGTCAAAACTTTTAAGTCTGCAAATGAAGTGAAAATTGGATGATCTTAAAACTAAGTGATTCCAGGCCGTCCGGCAGAGGAACATTTGGGAAAGCAGTTCTTGGTGGTGCGCTTGGAGCTGCTGCAGGTCTAGCAACTTTTGAATTGGGAAAGGCAAGTCATCCCTCATCAGCTCATGTTATTTTGTAGAATTCAAAAAGTAAATTAGACTTAACCTCGAAATTTACAATACGGTACCGCAGTGAATTGAATAGCAGTTTATATAAGCCCTTAGTGAAAATGAGCTAATTACATTTCGAGAGAAATATTTTCAATGTTTACTGTTTATCTTTTTTCTTCTGTCCACTTAAATTATTGCGCAGTATAATGTCACGTGCATGAAAGTACCCAAAGTTTCACAGTCATTTTATCGCTAAGCAAGATACGGTAACTGATTGTTGATCCTAATACCTAACATAACCTTTCTTTCTGAGCATGTTTGAAATTTCCTTTTTTTCCTTATAGGCAATCCTCCGTTCTGCTTCTGAACCTCTGAGAGCATCAAACGGTCAGAATTACTATTTTGATGAGCAGAATCATCAGTCCAAGAATGGCTATTTCATGTGTTCGATGCTGATAAATGACGTGGTGAAAACGTTGCAGGTTAATGGATTTCGGAAAAGTTCAACTTTCAGAGCAAGGAAGATGAAGTTTTTTGTTAGGAACAACGGATGGACTTAATAGGCGCAAAAGTTTTGAAAAAATTTGGATTGGATTAAATGGTCCTTCGAATTAGGTCTAGAAAAAATTGATATACTGCACAAGTGAAATTTATTGCTCAATGTTTAACAGTTTGCTTTCATTTTTGTTTTTCATTTTACACTTTTCAAGGGAAGTTCAACTCCAGTGCCAACTACTGATGAATCTATAAACTCAACCGCTATGTCGCCAGAGCAGTTCTTTAAAACAGTAGGCCATGTATTGCTTCTTGAATTCTGAGTTGTAGACGAAAGACTGAAAATTAATAAAGCCGTAGATATTTTGATTGCTAAATTTAAAAAGAGTATCTAAGTTTCGGTTTTTAAGGTACAGTTCAAAGATGGTTCAAGGCCGAAGTCATTGACTTGGAACTGTAAAACTGGTACTGAGATATGCTGTGGTACAGACTGTTGTCCAATACAACAGCAGTTTATAGGTGGTGGTAATTTCTCTCATCGGAGCAGACCGTCGTGGGTTGTTTTCGTTAGGTTTGTTGATGTTTTGAATTTTGAACAATCTTACAATCAATCTAACTCAGCAGTTACTTATTTCGAGATTGCTAGATTTTATCAGTTGCTGAAATGAAGTAAAAAGTAGACAAAGTAGACACGCTAACACAGATACGCCATTTACTTATCAATGAAGTGATAAGTTAGTCACGCGTAAATATTTTCTGAATTTTCATCTGAGTTAGCAAAGAATTTCCCAAATGCTAAGAAGAGAATTTCACATGCAATGCAGTATATCTTCTGTGGATAACGTAGCTGAGCTTTTTTAGGAGTCTTTTAGGCGGAGGATTTCAACTGAATGATGCCACTCGCTAATTAATTTATTTAGCAGCTTGCTAAGTGTCATGCGTTAAGTTGAATGCTTGAAAAATTGCAGTTTCTTGCTGTCACTGGTGCCGTTCTGCTACTGATATGATGTTGTTATTATTGTCTTTCTTACTAATTTTCTCTCCCTCTATTCGATATTTGCCTTTCATCATGAAACTTATCAGCTGAAGTGGTATATAAAAGTCTTGCTTCCAAAGGCTATTGCAATAGATGAGGTGAGCTTATAAAATTTCTTCATTCTTTTTTCGGCTGTGAACTTTTATAGAATGTTGAAGCAGTATTTATTTCTACATAGAAATAAAAAAACAACCTCACCTTTTGTTAGTTTTACTCTTTTAGTAATGAAGGTTTAGTTTTCAGATTTAGAAGAAAAAATTTTCGACTTTCTAGGGCACATGCAATCGCTGCGGTAATATTTGATATCTCCAGAACAAAGTGATTATTTGCGACATACTGTTATTACTCTGCTGGCCAGCAAAAGTATTATTAAATTTTGTGATAAGGTTTCAGGTGATAAGGTTTCTTATGTGTTCGTGAGCTGAGGTGCATTGTTCCAGTAGTGTGTTCCAAAATAAATTGTAATATAAGTAGCTTCAGGTTGTCTTTTAAAACTGTTATAAAGAGTTAGCCCTGACTTCACAAAGCAAGTGGGATGCTGATCAGTAGATACTTAGATACATGAATGCATATTACGTGGCGCAGATGTGTACTCTATTAAGTTCCGTCATCACATATTTTGAAAAGGATATTTAGCTTTTCTAAATCTTATCAGTAAGATATACAACAGAATGGAATATACAAATTTGATACAGTATATCATTTTCTCAGTACTTTGTTCTGGATATGATCGTATTGATACACAAGTAAACCATGCAGTCAACTGTAGCAAATGCATTCGTGATAGAATTGTCACTTAATGGGTTTTGATTTCCGGGACTTGAGGGAGGTTCCAAATTATTTGATTGAAGTAAATGGCCTTTTGAAAGTTTTTGAGGCAGTTGGACAAATTCCTTCATTTAAGAAATGGAACTTACTACTGTTAATGGTTCGACAGGTTGGGGAATAACCATGAAATAAGTATGAGATATCTGCATAAGAGTAAAATTAATTTGGAACTTGGGAAAGCTTCAGTTTCCAGCAGCACTGGTAACAGAGTGACTTTTCCACAGATTTCAGGACCTTTTCAAGATCTTCAAAGATCCTAAAAACTTTGCGGAAATGCCTATCACAAGCAGTTGCTGCATCGTGTCAGAAGTTGCCATCATTTGCTAGTATAGCATGTGAATGTTTTAACAGACGAATGTCATCATTCAAACTCATGTATTCCACATCAATCATATTTAAGTAATGGAGAATTTTCCTTTAGCATAGTATCATCTTGAAAATTGTTTCTTGAATAATGCAAATTTCTATATCACATTGTCGATATCGAAATTTATTTTATTTGAGAATTTTTTTCGATTTTCTTATTGAAATATGAAAGTTCAGACTTAGCTCTGTCAGTCCTCATTCCAGACCACTTTGTTTACAACACTGGAGCGCTTGTCTGTTGCAATGTTTCCCATGAATATGTAAAATTCTAGGAAAGCTTTCTGCGAAGTAACCAGCAGAGAGATATGCGCAGTTAGTCAGAAAACAGCGCTCTAGCAGGGTTAGATAGACTGAAGATTCGAGAGGCAGTCTAATGAAAATCGAGATGAGTAATGGATGGAATGAAGAGACATCGATAACAACAAGAAGCCTAAGCTGCCTCATAGTCTTGAATTCATTTCTCCTATCTGCTCCGCTTGCCATGAGATGATCAAATATCATTCATTGCCTTTGCTGTTTTTTTCAGTGTTTAATATTAATCCAACGTTGTTACCAACAACAAACCTTCTCATCGATTAATTTATCGAATAAAAGATGAGAAAGGAATGAATGAAGAAGGAAGAAAGTGGACAAGACAGGTCAGTTTGTTTAGAATGCGTGCTACTTCGATGTTGTACTAAGGTTAAGATAAGAGAAGGAAGAAAGCGTTAGCTGAAATGAAGGAAAACATTAATAATTTCAAAGCGATATGAGTTATTATAAGGGTGAAAATGAGCAATAACAAATGTTTTTTGACGAAAAAATGAATAAAACTTCATTTACAGAATGCAATAAAATGACTTAGGCCAGCAGCTGACGACTGTGGCGATAATTTAGGTTAGACTTCGAAAATAAGTCCTGCTCCGGTTGGCGTATATGGAGATATCACGGTACAAATGTCCTCCCCCCCCCCCTCCCTCCTCCGAATACATTTGATTACTGTTACACAAGAAGTAATAAGCAGTGCACACATAGTATACCTGTGTTTTCACTATGGCACCTGTGGATGTTTCGGGTGAATTAGAAATTGTGAACCTTGGTTATCAACAATATATTTTATTACGAATTTAACTAACAAGTTAGCATTCGCTAGAACCTACAATGAGAGAAATATGGAAAACTTGAGCTAGCCTGAACCTGTAGTTTAAAGATGACAAAACATTTAGTTGATTAAGAAGAATCTTTGACGATGCATAGCTTCATCCTTCTGTATGGAGTGTAATATGGTGACATAAGCAATTACAAATGTGTGTTTTACCGATGGCTTATATATGAGTGATACGAAAGGATTGCTCAATATCCATCAACTTGGAGAATTATTAACCGTAATGTGCTTTATTTAAAGATTGATCTGTAATAAATGTCAAGTGAGGCCTACGCTTTCAGGTTAAAGTGATATGAATGAAATATGAATATACAACGCTTTTTGCCTGTACAACTTCCCTTATTATTATTACTATTATTATTGTCAATAAAAGAATGTGGATCTAAACGAAGCGGTACACTTGCTGGCAGTCGTGGTACATCAGCTAGCCGATCTGGTGGTTTATTTGGTGGTTTGCGTAAAAGTGGAGGTGGATCGTTTGGTTCTTTTGCAAAATCCCGCACTGGAGGAGGTGTTTCTGGCTCTGCGAAATCTGGTTATCCACGTGATAGTAGATGGGGAATGCCTAACGGTGGCAATATTGGCAGAACAGGTGGTGATCGATGGGGTAGCAACTCACGTAGCACTTCATGGGGACGACCGCGTGGTGGCGGCTTGTGAGTTTTATTTCTAACGTTCTCTTAGTAACGCGTTTTTTATGTTTTGATGTTTGATTTCTTTTCTTGTCACAGAATACTTCTGTTACATGCCATTCTTTTTTAATAATTGAATGAATTATACTTCGGTAAAATAAGTTATAGTAAAATAGATTTCATTTCTTTTAGGAAATTAAATACCACAGATCGCAAAAGTTTGGTATTTGTAGCTTAATTTACTGCAACTCAATTTATTATGTGAACTTTTTTAAATTTTTCGAAGGCTGAATTAGGATCATTTTAGGGTCTTTTTTTTTCTGATCATGTAATTTTTCTTTAGGTTTACCAAATCAAATATTGGTTCTTTCATTGCTGGTGCTGCAGCTGGTTACCTCACTTATAAAGCTGGAAAAGCATTGATACGAAGCGCTTATGCCCCAATGATGTCCGTTTTTCACCTTGAAATTTCTCAAATCATTTTGTTTACCGTTAATTTTGATCCTCAATGAGTTAACAGGTGAAGGACACCATCTATTCAGTTTGGGGATTACCATAATTATTGTTTGAAATGAAGAGCTTCAGGTGGAATAATCGTCCATATTATTGGGGTTCCAACTACTATCGTGGCGGCTATGGCACTCATATGTGCCATATGCCTGTACAAGGAGACGATCCACAGCTGGGTAATGTATATTTCGAGGATGGTAGAAGGCCCAAAGAATTGGTCTGGAGCTGCAGCTACGACGAATATTGCTGTGGTTATGACTGCTGTTGGCGTGGTGGCACATCATCTTATTGGATTCGCGGGTCTGGCCATATCCTTCTAATTGCTCTCGCTGTCGTGCATTTCATTTAAAACTTCAAAATTATTAGGATTTACATATCACTCATGCTTATACGCTTCCCTTATTATACGGCTTTCAGAATCATAGTGCTAGAATGACGTCCTGAATCCAAAAACATTTGGGTTGTCCTAATTCTGAATCTCATTACTTTTACTATGACTTGGAGGGAGTTTGCTGGGTATCCAAAGTTTCACATTCCAAACGTTTTTAAATGTGGAAAAGTAAGAATGAGACAGTATAATTTTCTCCCATTGATTAAGTTGCTAAGTTCATTTCCAACAACTTTTTGAAGCAAAAGAGCTTTGAAACCTTCCGAAGTGCGCAAATGCATCGAGCGAAAAGCACTGGTGATTTCGTGTTTGAATCAAATAACCGCGGTAGCTTTATCAGCTTATTCTGTGTTTAAGTATACTAACTTTTGAAAATCCAAATCCAATTTAATTGCCATGATACTTTAGAATTGTTATGGTCAAATGATATTACGATGTCTCGTCCATACTGCTTCTTTGACATTATGGGAATTCAATTTTTTTTCTTCGTTGCAAATTATTCACCGACGATATTTTCAATGTCAGCTATCTTTCATATGTCTTATCTTTGCGGTTAAAATTTTAATCTTTGAAGGTACTGCCGCTAAGTGCAGCCTTAAATAGTATCGTGGTGTGTTAACCATATAGCTTTGTAGAAATGAAAATGCATTCAGAGTTTTAGAACTGCACAAGTGATCTGAAATGAAATATTTTAGCCAAAGATAATCGTATCTGATGAGTCTTTTCAGTTTGTATTCTAAAGGATGGAAAACGCGTCATATGAAATTTTTATTAATGAGAACTCATGAATTTTAAGAATCCGATCCAAGTGTAAGTTGAGAATTTTGTAGTGAAGCACAGTGGGGTTGATTTCTCGATAGCCTTTAACCCTTAAAATTTGAATTTTGGAATTTAAATAGGTACTAAAATGACACAGTTGATAATCAGTTCTATTTTTTTGAAGTATTAAATTGTTGAAATCACAAGATCTTTGTTCTGTGGATTAAGAAAAAGATGGTTTTTTGAATGCTCTAAAATCATTTCTTATATTTGGATCTTCCTATTTCTGATTTCCTTTCTACGATGAATTTTAAAAAAGTAAATGAATAAAATAAGTCATGCTTCCTTTCATGGGTTGCATTCTTCATAAAATTCCAAATTTTCTGGGTCTGTTCTGAGTCGCGTATTAAATTCTACAGAAAGTCTTTAGAAATAGTTTCTAAGCTTTTTGTACAAGTTAAAATTAAGATCCTATGTTTTTCATTTATGTGCAGCAAGCCGCGATAGCAATATTTAGCAAACAAGATTACATTCGACTTATTTTTGGACGCCTCTATTGTTAATTTCTCTATTTACTTTGGAATCAAAAACCTAGTCTAAATTGCCTGGCCATCCAAACTTTGCATGAGATTTCCCGCAGACATTAATCTCAAATCTCTCCCGGCTTAGAGTTTTAAGGCATCTCCGACTACCACTTTATTTTTCTGCCCTACGAATGACCATATAAGAGTGCCGGAACTTCCACAGGCCTAAAGTTTGAAAGTTTGACGGTAATAACGCTTACATTACCTGGACTCGTCTGCTTTTGCTGGATGAGTCGTGCTACTTCTTGATAAACTGTGCAGTAGCTTCCCAACAGATCTTCAGAAATATATCCTTTATCAAGTTAAAGAATTCTCTACATTATACGACAAAGCTGATAAGTAGACTTAGTATCTTAATAACGTAGACTTAGTATCTTAATAACGCCGTCCCAGCAACCATAAACCCTGTCCGGTATCTTACAGCTGTCACAGACAAATTAACCACAGCGTGTTAGCCCATTACCTTTTTTCTGCTTCAAAATTAAATAAAAATTCAGTTCTCCAAAAAAAGAAAGAACGCCTAACGCAGCATCATATGATAGTTACTTTGCTTTTGCTGATAGTTACAGATAGATTTTCAACTTGATATTTTTATGCTAAAGCAGTAACAAAACAACAATCCGGTAAATGCAAACCCTGTCCGGTAAATCTGATTGGACACCATTACCAAAATTTGAGAAACTTGGTGATATTTCTCATTAGAGTAGTTTGAACTTTTTTTTATTTTCTTTGACCGTATTTTCGTGATGATAAAATGCACTAATTTTTCATCTATTTAGCACTTAACAGCGGAATTCATGCTGCTTTTTCATCAAATATCCATTAAATGTTACTATATTTTTTTTTCTTTGCAACCTCCTACCAATAATGAATTTAACTCATTTTTATGAACGATTTGTCCAAATAATACTTTTTTTCATCCAAATTCCAAATTTTCGAGAAACTTCTCGAAAGCTCAAACTTTTTCGCAATTCTAATTTCCTTTTTTCATTTATAGCTTTACTAACAACACTATACTGGAAGGAAGTCCATTGTTTTAGTACACATACACTACTTTCTAGATTAATAAAGAAATCAATAAATGATGGTACCAATAAACACAATGAACAACCGGACATGCGGACAAAATGAAAAAGAAGCAGAACAATCTAGCTTTACTGGAAAGTTCTGCAACGAACAGGAAAAAGCACTTCTCAAACTTTCACCCATCGATTCAACAATATACGATTCCAGAGATACTGGAAAATTAATAATAATGTAACGAGATCACTCGTCAAGTGGAGATTTTTCAGGTGGTGGTCCGCAAGGCGCAATCATCTGATTCAATAAATTGAACCGAATCCTAGCCCGCGATTCGTTTTCGCATACTGCTATCAAACTTAGATGGTCTGGGTGGCCTAAAATTATCCTTCTTCTCGAGCGAAATTACAGCTTAAGATTTTCTTACTGAGTATTATTTTTTGTTGAGTATTATCTATTCACTTGCAAGAACGCAGGTAATTTCTCGAAAGGTAAGATTACGCCATCAACCAATTAGTCCAAGCAAGAAAATCAATTTCTAAAATGATTTTATTAAATTCTCTATCAACAACTTACCGATCATCGATGCGTATGTGTCACGGTGCTGATTGACGAGCCATTCCCATCTCGTTGTATCGGCATGTCCAGTACCCGTATATTTTGACTGCAAATGATCAAGCTGTGAAAGTACATGAAATCGTTCTGTTGGCGCTGCCATTGATAAGTCCCAGTAAAAAAGAACGAATCTAGAAGAAACTCATGTAAAAATATTTAGAAACGCGGCAATGAACATCCCTGTTAGTAGCGCATTTCTTGTCAGTAGACAAATATAGTACATTGATATTTACTCTACAAACCAAGTGATTAAACAACAGAAACACTTGCACGATTCTCTAAAAAGTCTTCCATTTTTCGCACTAGCGTTCCTAACCGCAAAACAAATTATGGTAATGTGTCCACTCATTACGCTAGCACACAAGAAGAGGAAATCACCCTTAAAGATGAGTTTGAAACTGCTATCCATCCTTCTCATCTTCCTCTTATTTAAGGAGACAGTTTATCGGTATGTTAAGTGAAAAAAGTTTAATTAAACTTAACGACTCATTTGAAGACTTGCAATCAAAAAAATTGTTTATCACCGAACATGCCATAATGATGATAGACTATACAGAGAATGAAGGTTCTCAGTGTGCAGCCTCTAAAATTGATAAATAAAGGCTACATTTATCATTTACAAAAAACATATAACATTGAATAAACGTTACTAACATTTCAATCAAAAATCAGTGTATATGTTTTCATTGTACCATCACAAAAAAAAAAACCTCATACTAGTACAGTGGTACTAGTATTGAATTTACTGATCACTGCAAGGAAAGCATAACGTAAAGATGTATAAATAACTACCATTCGTAGAAATACAAATTTGTAGAAACGAGCCACCATTCATATTATCAACAATATCAATTTTTCTATTTTGAGAAGAAACATCGCAATTGAAAAGTTATGAGGTTAGTTGTACACTTACAACCCAATCTGTATTGGGTCATATGAAGTTTCCTGCGTAATTCTCTCCTCAAAATGCTTAACAAAATTTGCAGGTACTGTGCACTGAGAGATTGGTGTAGAGAATGAATGAGCGGTAATCAAAAAGACCTTTGTAATTCTCTACTGCTACTCGTAGTGGATAATAAAAAAAAAGTTGCCTCTCAAATCCCCCCCTTAATGTTTAATATAAAGATAATCCTTCCATTACACAATACGCACTACTTTCTAAAGTGATCAGGAAAGTGTTCTATATCTAAAAAATGAGGTATATGAGATTAGTACTATTACGTTGGAATTATACCAATGAATCTATTTTAATGGAATATTAAACACAGAGTACTTAGCTAGTGACACTATAATTATAGTTAAACCTAAATTAATTTAATTTCCTTACCAACACAGTGTTTGCAACAGGTAATTGTAATATTCGATGTATGTGAAACTGGCTTATAAATTTTTTCATCACATGGCGAACGCTCAAAAAATATCGACAAATCGGTTTTCAGCGCTGCACGAGCTTCGTTCATCAATGCTTCCAGAACCGAAGGGATGGGCTTTTTGCGGATTTGTTCCTCGTTTGTAACAAGAAATTTGTTAAGCAATGTTTGTAGATGCTTACAATGAGAAAGTAAACGGCATCGCTGATTACGCATTTCATCCGCTCGAATACTCATTGCCAAGAATTTACAACGCCACATATCGGCTAATATTGCCAAATCTTCAGCTCTATCATGATCATGCGATATCTAGAAAAAAAAAAAGAAACATACCATTCCTCATATATCATAAGCATTCTGCAAGGCTAACTAGGAACTTTGCCGTAATCTATTTTGAAGTCTGACACTACCTAGAAAGTTAAACAAAGTGGCTAAGAAAGTCAACAAAACTACAGAATTAATTTATGGGTCCAAAATCAATTCTGAAGATTAGTGATTTATGCTGCCAGCTATAAAAACGGAACAACACTAGAAGTTAAACAAAAAAAAAAAAAAATTAGGCCCCAAAAAACTTCGACAAATAAATCTAAATAGCTCCAACCTGCGCTTCAAATTTCGCCATCATATGAGCAAGACGAACTTTATCTTCACTAAGCGACTTTACATGACATGTTAAATCATCGCCCATTGTAGCAACAAGTATACGTTTCAGTTCTACAGTCAACTGCCTTTCTAACTAAAAATACAAAAAAGGTTAAAAATTCAGACGAAGACTATAGTTTCGAACGCACTGCGAGAAATCCAACTATCACGACTATCATTTACAGTCTTTTTCTTTCACACATTAAAGACTGTCGTGAAAAGTCTATATCACTCAAAACTGAGAAAAGTTTTTTCTCATTTATAAAATGTCTTGAAAAATAGCAGAATTCAAATTACCAAACCTCGAGATCCTTTTTAGCTTTTCAAGTTCCTCTGCATTATCAACCTTCTCTTCTCTTCCAACTTCAACATTTCCACCAAACGGTGAAGATTCCTTTCCATCACCAACTGGGCGCACTCTCGACAAGTTACAAATTTTCATTTCCGCAGAATTCACTAAAAATTAAATCAAGAAATGCAGTAATGCAGTAATAAAAATAAATTAAGATAAAAATCACTTCGTCGTACAATACCTCTAACTGTATTTGACGATTTCTACCAAAATAATTTGTAATCTAATTCGAAATACATGAGATAAAATTTGAAATCTAAAAACTTTCGATTGTCTCACTGTCACAGTGAGAGATTTAAATCCTCCTCAACAAATCATAACTCTATCGCGCATTCGAAATATAGATAAGGAATTCTGTTTTTTTTAAGTTGAGTCCAAAAGTAATAAATTTCATAATGGTGTAAGCATCTCTGAAGACGTGTGAAGACGTAAGCAAATGCTTACATTTTCATAAATCCTTATATTAACATAAAACTAGAACCACTATAAAAGATACCGCTTTCTGAGAAATGTCCTTCGGTAACTTTATTTTCAGACACCATAGGATTCAGTTTCACAAACTGATACTTGATCAAGGGTGGTAAAACACCAGGATGGCTTCCTTTTACATAGGCTGATGTTGCTGCCTGAAAAATACGGTAAGTTGTGCTTCATTGTTCAGGGACACGAAAAGCCTATAACATCTAGCTTAAGCTCATATAAAGAGATCGCTTACTTCCAATTATTATTCCTATTATTAGCTTAAAACTCATTTGCTCAACACTAACTACCGTTGGTTTAATATAAAGTCAAAAAGGACGCTCTAAAAAATGGCTCGCAACCTTTTCTTGACCAGGGACCACTTTAACTTTTTCATTTGTAACAGGGACCACAAGGTTCAAAAATAATAAATTGTCCACTTGAAAATAAGCTTAAATCGCTTTTGCTGTATTAGTTTATCAAACAAAAAAATAAAGACAATTTCCGCCTGTTTTCTACCCATCGCATCGCTACCCTTCGCAAATCACTAGCTGAGAGCTACTACGATGTTGTTAAACAAATATACGACCAATCCAATTACAGATAAACGCGTACTAGAAATTACTATGTCCGCTTTTTTATGAACATGGGAATGGAACTATTCAAAATGAAAATTATTTCGAGTAAAAATTAAAACGTTCATGCCACCGCATCAGGTAACCGTATATTTGTTTAACAACACTGTAATATTTTTTAACCACTTTCGACTGTACTTTTAAAGCATAACTTCAGGGAGAGAGGACTTTAGGCAGTGGTGATACCCGTCCCAAATTTTAATCAACTGCGGTGTTATTTTTCCTCTATATAGCACGCGGAGAGATTGTTCACTAAAGAGAGCACTGCTAACAATGGAATATTAGGCTCAGTATTCAAAGAATAAAGACCAAACCTAAGGAACAAAATAGGGCTGCATTCAATTAACCAAATTGCGGTTAACTTTTCATTAACATAGATGGAACTGATGTAAAAGAAAGGAAGAAATGAAGATAAACAGAAGAAATCACAGAGTTATTAAACTGAAGCATCCTGAAAGAAAAAAATTTAGCCTTACCTTATAGGGTTCCCATGGGACAATTCCCGGAAGGTTACGTCTCTTTATCTGCACTTTTCCTTCCATCAATAATTTCCACCTTTACTATTAATTTAACCGAAAAAGAGGGAATATAAATAAATTCTATGAATCTTAAATATATGACCGTGGTTTCAAGCCTCATAAAGCTAGCTTTCGTAACCAGTCGATTAGCCCGCGCATCAAAACTCGCGTGGTTCATCAAATAACCATTTGCACTCTTATTTGCATTACCTTATCCTCGGAGTCATTACATTTTAATCTTAAATTTTAAGATTTCATTTCAAACTAATAATGTTTAGACACTATAAGACTTAGATATTTCCATTTCTTAAAAATACAGTTTTGAAAATTCCGTGAATACACAGCTTCACATATAAACTGAAAAAGAAACAAGATAGCCAAAAGAGGAGCAAATCTATCGTTCTCTGTCAATATTTTTATTATTTTGCTTCAACGGACAAAAAAAATCGATGGAGTAACACTTTTCTCTCATTAATATAGAAAAGAATTCTTAGCAACAAATGAAATGAACAAAGAATCAACATTTTAAACGGATACCAGTAAGGAAAAAGAATCACTTCATCAGAAAACTCTAAAAATTATACGGAACAGACAACACCAGATGAAAAAAGACGATAGACGCCCAACTGCAATTGCATATTTATTCATTTTTAGCGGTGTAGGTGCTTTCATTATCATAAAAGATGATTTCCCGCAATGTTTGATAAGGTGAATTATGACTGTAAAGTGAATTATAACGGCGATATGCAGATTGCCCTAATTTTCTTTGATGAGTTTAGCAGTTGTTCGATTAAGATAATATCCACATTAACAATCTTCTTGCAAGCAGATGAATGATGAGACTATTCACAATATTTAAATCAAAATATTAGAACGAAAAACATGCCGAAATGAGAAATGATCCTAAACTCATAATATAATATGAACATCATACAAAACTACAAAAGACTTTCAGTTAAAAAAATTTAGCATAAAAAAAGCACGTCAAAACACTTATAACGCAAAGAAATTATAAAGATTACAAATATTACAGATTTTAAACAACCAAATTCCCTAAAAAAAACTCCAAATCTTTGGTAAAAATTTCAACAAATTTATACTTTAGTCAGAATTTTCGAAGAATTTTCAAATGAATTGAGGACGCAGGGTCTCTGAAAGAACAGGCATTGCTGGCATTACAATTTTGGTTCCTTATGAAAGGCCCGTATGTCGTTGGACTGATAAGAACTTGCCATTACAAAAATCTGCTTATGATTTCCTATTGGAAAACTCGGTTTAGAGTTTCAAAGTTTTTTTCACAGAATTTTTGATGTAATTATAATAACTTCAAAGATATAACAAACTTGAGAACATACAGAATAATCTGTTCCACATTACCTCAACCATCATAAGCTCAAGATGAAGTTCAAAATTGCAAAATCACGTAAGGTTCAAGTTTCCGCAAAAAGTCACTATACAGTGAAAGATACCACTAATCACTCTTTGTCACTGTGAAGGCCGCACATAGATACTTTGTCCAGGGTTTCACTGTTCGGAGCCAGTCATTTAAACCAAAATAAAGTAAACGATTTTCAGCAGTCTCGCCTTCCTGCAATTAATATTTTCTTTAAATGTTTGAACTATTTTTCACAGCTCCAAAAGTTAACTTAATAAGAAGTCAACTAAACTCGAATATGGATTTACATGCTACCTGTTCAAGTTTTAGCCTTGCAAACTCCCGTAATCTGTGAATTTTTTCAACCAAATTTGCTATTTGCGGAAGTATGCAGCATTCTGTACTTCTGATAAATGATGTTATTAGCCGTCCAAAAAGTAAAAGGCGCAACATTGTTTTTACAAGCATATCATCCGACAGCGATTGCAGTCCCGTTGTGTCGGCGAACACTGCATTTCTTTCCTTGAATGAAGTTATATTTTAAGAATAATTATTCCTGAAATTTATAAAATATAACAAATAGGCAAATGCCAAACCCAGACTACAATGTTTCAGAAAGAGACACAACAAAAAAGGGAAAGAAAATTTGTTCCCAAGAAATGCAAAAACTTTGAAATCCTGACGAACAAACCTTTTCTTCACTTTCGAAGTGACCCGATATTATCCGGACACAGTCATTTAGCACTGGAAGTACTAGTGCTTCTTTATCAGGAACTAAACGATTTGTAGCTAAACTGAACAATGCATAACATGTCATCACTGCTGACGAAAATCCAGGGCTCAACTGAAATGAAAAAATGAAAGCGAAGCTATCTAAAAAGTGAGAAAATCGGAATGTTAGCAATGACAATCTAAAGTAATTGAAAATGAAGAAAATAATGAATTTCTAGGGTAGCACTATTCTAAAAATCTAGGGTAGTAGTACTAACCGTAGGCGGAAATTAAAGTTATCAGAAAACAGAGCAAATACGAAAATTGATACCTCCATGGATTCCAAATTTAAGCCACTTATGTCCGTAACAATCGTACTGATAGATTCAGAAAACCAACGATGGAAACCATCAATACTAAGTTTTTGTAGACATGTGGCATTATACGTACTTTTGTTGAGAAGACGTGACATGATCACTTTATTGAATATTGTAAAAAGCTCATCCTAAAAGTGGAATAATAGAACAGCAACTGATTTTAAGAAAGTTTTGGATAAGTTAAAAAGATAAAGATGGGTTTCTTTGGTAATATCCCTTTGACAATATTAATGTCTACTGTTTCAGTAGCAATAAGGAAAAATATCAAGAGATCTGCGTGTTTGATTTCGTCACTCCTCAAATAAACACAAAACAATCGTAATAATTTTTCAGATTCAATTAGTTCCAATTTCTGCAAATTATTCCTCTCTTTTAGTCGAAATAATTATAGATATCTCGGCATATAATGGACACTTTGATAATGAAATGTATCCAAGAAATTATTCTATAAATAAAATAAGACCTAAAAGGAACTTATGTTCAAACAAAACCTACTCTTGAAGCAAGATGTACGGACATCACGCGACGCACGGACTCATACTGCTCATTTTCATCAATTAATAGTTTGTCAACAATTTCGGGAACAATTGCAACTGAATAGCACATCATCGGTACAACTCTATCTGACGAATCTCGTTCTATTAAGTGTTGTAACAAGTTTGTCACCTTTCTCAAAACTTCATTATTCGACCCATCCTAAACGAAATATTTCAAAAAAAAACTCGAAATAAACCTTGAAATTAGAGATATTTACACATTGTAAACAGTGCCATACGATATATGTAATGTCTTTATTTCTCGACTGAAACTGGACTAAATATTAAAAGATGAAAATTTTTGTTTCTAAAGGTTTTAAAAAATGTTATTTAAAAATAGAAACCCCAAACTTGCAATCCCCTAAAATTCATACTTGCAACAGTATTCGAGTGCATAAAAGAATACATCGAATATTGAGACCGTGCTGTGCAACAGAAACAGGGCGCGTTTTCATCAATGATGTTATCATCTTCCTGAAAACAGTCTAAAATCCTCAGCAGCCTAAAATTCTTTTTGAAAAGGCCGACAAAACAACAATGTATAATAATCTACTACGATGACATAGTCATATACAGTGGTTCTGCTTCCAATTTCAACAAACCAACCGAAGAAAAAAAGAAATAACATCACTCCAGTGCTCTTCACCACTCAATTGATGCAATACTTCGATGAAATTCCGCTCTTTTGACGATGCTACCTGATGAAGTTCCAGAACTTTAGCACTTGCGCACCGGTCTTTTTGTTTACCAGACCAATAGCGAACTGCAACCACGACACTGTGCCACATATTACCGACATCAAGTTTATTTATAAACTGAAAAATTCTTTGCATCATATTTCCATGCAAACCAGGAAATGTCTCATATCTGAAAATTGGAAAAATTCTAATGTAGTGTGAAACTGCTGGATATATGCATTCATATATTTAACAGTTCAAAAGCAGATCTTTAAATACTTGCATAACTTGAAATGGTTTTTCATGGATAAAAAATTACTTTAACGGAGCACTCAGCCAATTTCTCGCAAGATATTGCTGAGATGGTTGGTGTCTGAAACTTCTGGACTATTTCGAGTAACTTATCATTATAGTTGCTTTCCGAGAGTGCCTGGTCAAATAAGCACATCACAGCAGCCTCATCGCTCCCAACTGGAATTTTTGTCGCGGATGTACTTACTCGTATCGCGCTATGCTGAATTGCAGGCAGTCCTACACTCTGTAAATAAGAAAATAAGCAGCACAGCATATGTATTTTGGCCTAGAGATAGATAAGACATCAAAAAGATGCATCTGTGATGCACAAGATTTAAGCTTTATCCGTATAAAAGTGTGCCAGTTTTTATTCGACAATACTTAAATTTTTCCGTTATATTTTAAAGTAGTTACTTTGGCCTTGTTCAATACATCTCTTCCAGTAGGAAGCATTATTGCTGCTCTTTTTCGTTGTGTAATATTTGGTTGTTCTACTTTTTTCGATGCTGATAATGTAGAAACTATCGTTTTTTTCTAAAAAGCGACAAATAAGACAATCAATTCATAAGCAACGATTTAAAGCAAAATAATGAATTTTAGGTCTCAAAGCTTCCTACTGCCAATTCCAATTCCTACTGTCAAATCTATGGGTGCTTAGTCTCACAGAACAAATTTTCAAAATTAAGTAGTCCTTCCATGGCGTTCTTTTTTGCAAAAAACTGATGTGTTTGAATTCTTCCACGTTCCTTCATGATTTAACACAACGACAACAGATTAGTGGACAGGGAGTTATTAAGATATTGCTACTTCAAACTATAAGAGTTTGAGATTTAGATTGTGATCTAGAACTCATAAAACAAATTTTTGACAAAATGATAAAATCCGAAAAAATAAGTTGGAGTAATCTGTCAACGATTAAAGAAGCAAGTGAAACTATCTGCCGTAGGTTTATGTACTTGAATTCTTCCAAGTTCTTTCATGCATGATGTTTGCACTGCAAGCCGTTTATGCATCTTTTTGTACATTTCTGATCTCACAGTACTGATCGATTTCTGTAAAAAGTGACAAAATCATTTATAAAACAGAAAAATTAACAAACAATTCTATCATTTTGGCACGCAGTCCTGTAGGAATGGCTCAAAAAACGCCACTATTCAAATATATTTCAAATATGCATGAGTGAGAATGAAAATAAATAGAAACCTTAGTAGTTACTGTTGTTGCCTTAGCTTTCTCTGACCCAATGCAATTATTCGAGACATGAATCTCGCCTAAAAAACACCACAATTTTTACATTCACTTCCTATTTGCATCATTGAAACTATTTTCAGCTTTTAGAATTTAGTAAGAGAGCAGCAACAGTACGCAATTAAATACCTGATGCAATTTCCATATTATGACATGAAACTCCAGCATCATCCGTAACAATTTCTAATCGGTTATCATCATCGTTGAGATCATTTAATTCTGCTTCTGCATAAGTTCTAATCAGTGATTTATATGTATATATATATATGTTCACATTTAGCAGAGCAGTGAGAATATGAATAGGTACGTGTACATGTTCACAAGAATATAATAGACACATTTCCAGTGAAGCTAATGGAAAAATAACATTTCCAAAGAAATACAAAAGAGTAAAAAGCAAAAACATATGTAAAAAAAGAATTTTACGAACTGACCAAGTAATTTTATATTCGATGTCATAGATTTGCTCGTACTCTCACTGTTCTCACTCTAAAATTGTAATTTATTAGGAGGAATTAACACATAAAAATTAGATCTCCAGTCTCGAAACATATCAACTTTGCTGTTCCGTAGTAATTTCATTTGAAATTTTATAACAATTAACAATCATTAATTGTAGCATACCACTGGCTCCTTTCCACGATAAGTTCCAATCATTTTTGATTTTTGCGAAGATGTTGTGATCTGACCGGCATCTTCCCACTTGTCTTCCACGTTGCTAATTAGTTCCTCAGCCAGTTTCCGCTTTTTTGCCTCACTTGTCACTAATTTATTATTCCGTGTCACAAGTGATTTTTTGGATTCCCTAATTCCAATATTCTTTGATGAACATTCGACAGCAATCTCGGCACTTTCTAATCCATTTCTCAGTGTTATTTCTCGTTCTACATGCATTACTGTTGATTGAGTGGTGTTATTTTGTTTCCGCTTTGCAATTTGATTTCCTGATTTCATAGTGCTTAGAATTCCATCTTTCGTCGAATTTTCTCTATTACCTTCTGATGACTTCCTTTCATCGAAACTCTCCCATGACATTGTGAAATTCCAAACTTCTTTCCCCGAATGTCCATGTATCGCTATATTGTCAACATTTAGAATCTGATTTTCTACAGCTTCACTTGAGTTTATGTTCACATTTTCCTGCTGCGTCAATACTTCCGTTTCTAGGTCATTCTGAACAGTGATGAACTCCTTAGTGTCAATCATCAATTCCTGATTATCTTGGGAAGACCAAGAATCAATTCGTGCTTGTTTCTTCCACGCTGAACGTCGTAGTGGTTGCCCTTGTGGAACTGGATTATCAATGCATCCCTCTAATTTCTCTTCATTTCGGATAGCTTTTAATTCATCACTTTCTTCTCTAAGCATTTCTAGAACACTTTCCACCTTACTTTCTGGTAATCTTACAAGATTTCCCTCCTTTTCTAAGCATTTTTTTCCACTGAGTACTGCTCTTCTTGAGATCACTTTCTCATTTCTTAACTGCTGCGTACTGTAACCCTGGTTTGTATCTAATTCATCTTCTCTGGTATCAGTAGATGTTGTGATTACTTTCGACAACTTCGAAGAGCCAGCTCTAATTCCCAAACGTTCTTCATTTTGAGGATTAGATTCACTACGTTTTCTCTGTGACCACAACATCCCAGTACATTTCGAACCAGTGGTAATAATATGCCTTGATGTCTGGCTAACTGCAGGTATATATTCTTCCACAGAGAGTAATTCATTGATACCATCTGACACTTTGAGATTCTGCACGGATCCTTTATCCTGCAAAGGATGATGAATGGATTAATGGTCCCACAGAAAAATCCTCGCCTTTAAAAAACTTCCAACTCCCACGTGTAAGTTTTGTCCAGTGATTTTAACCAACAAAAAGATTTAAAAAGATGAGTTCCAAATCACAAGTAAATTATTCTCTCCGCAAATATATATCACGATGTCCATGAATTTTTTGTAGCATACTCTTCCAATAACTGAGTAGAAAATGACGCACTTTCCTTTATTTTCTGAAGTCATTTTGTAAGATTGTAAAAAATAAATTATGATATCTTCCCTTTGTTTTTTGAAGTTATTTTGTAAGCTTGTAAAAAATAAATTATATCTTCCTCCTTCTAGTGGTGATATATTCCACTACTTATGAAACTAAGTAACATAAAACTTACGGCTCGCTCATTATGAATGACCGTAACAGCTTTCATAGTGGAGGCAGGTATACAACCCAATGAACCAGAATCTTCGGATGTTCCAGATGCGGATACAGTACTAGCTGTCATAGAGGAATGTGTGGGACTTGAGGGAACAAGAGGAAGTGATAAAGGTTCAGCCAAACATTCAATTTCCTTTGGTGTCAATGCATCAGCTGTGTCATCCATTTTGGACCTCAACCTTGTCTTATTTTTCGAGATTACGCAACCTTCCGTTGAGCTCACTGATGTTTGTCTGCTTGATATACTAGGGGACAACGGTCCAAAGAGATTATCTATATAATCATCCGAACCGTGTTGCCTTGATGCCTAAAAAATCTTTCACTTAGAAAGAAAAAAATAATCGAAATGATATTAAAGAAAATTATTAGAAGCGAATCTTTCATTTGAATGAATGAATGATTCCATTATTGCGCACCAAAAACCATATTAAAAGATTCCCTGCTATTTTGCTATCAAATACACACAGAAATTATACCTCAGAAGTATCTAGAAATGTTGGTCTGCCTAGTTCTGGAAGTAGAGGATCCAAATGCACGAAGCTAAGCCATGTGGAAAGCCGTTCAGTACTTCCATAAACTCGTTTTTCCTCACTGCTTTCATTTTCAGTCTAAAATCATCCACATAGCATAAAAATCACTAATATATTACCAGCTCCAGCCCTCACTGCAATTCTCCTTAGATCTAACACAACTGTCCTCCAAACTTCTCAAAACAATTCTATAGAAACTCCCTCCGCAACGCAGAACTATTAACTAAAAAAGAGAAAAGAAGGAAAAACTAAAAGGGACATTGGACAAAAACAGAAAAAGACTGAATTGAAACTGACCTCCACTTCTGATGTATTTGTACCATCTTTTTCTCTGGTGGATTTCAAGAAATTTTCATGTACATCGCGGAGAATATTCTTTTGCAATCCATTTTCATCTTGATGCACATCATTTTCAATCCACTCATTATTTTTCTAAAAGCAATTCTTATCAAGAATTTGAGAAGCAAAAACTAAAAACTTTATAGAAGAACAGCTCATCCATTGTTACCTTTGGTAGTGAGGGAGATGAAATGCTTGGGATACATACGTTCATAACATCGTCAAACATAACTGAAACAATTAATTAATACTGACTAAATAAGATATGAGAATTTCGTTAAAGAAAATAAACTTTCAAGATGTTCAAGTAAAAAATGAAACCTGGAAAAAACAAACTAAGTTTTTTAGCCTAAAATATAATAGCGGGTGTAAATTTAATTTCCCGTAAAATGACAAAATGATCCAGTTAAAAAAACTCGGATACAGACACCATACGGAAGTGTATAATAATTTTACAGATTCTCTAAAATTACCTTTTCCTTCTTCCACATCTGTAAGCAATATTTCTTTTTTTTGCATTTCAGTTAAATCCAACTGTCTTTTGCACAATGTTTTCGACTTCTCCATAAATACGTCTCTAAAATATCAAACAGTGGTGCAAATTACGATGAAAATGGACGGCGTAGTGGTTCCCCAAAGACAAAGACTTTAAATTCAATAATATATAGAAAGGCATCAAAAGCTTAGGCGACTACAAATAATAAATTTGAAATTGGTAACAGAAAGGCTGACAAATCTGTTACGAAATAAGCTAAACCGAACTAAGCGTGACTAAGGATTAATGGAGTACACATTAAGCACAAATAAAGCTTTTATGGATGTGTAAAATCATTTAATACTCAGCTATCCACTGATTCGAAAATAAAAACTGCCTACTTGGATTTTATTCATTTGAGAAAGTGGCGAAAGTACGGACTATAAAGATCAAGCAAAGTTCTTAACGTATTAGTATAGGATATCATGATCACATAGTCAAAAGATTTAGCCAGAATAAAGATACAACAATTTAGTTGCAGAAAAATGGGAGAAATAAGCAAAAAAGTTAATGGAATTTGCAAACAAGGGTTCAGCAGAATTTAAGGATTTCCTTGGAAGCAGTCGAATCGAGGTGAAGGTAGGGCATGGTTGCATTTAACCAGAACTCATGGAAAAAAATCAGTAAAGACTCAGAATTGCAGAAAATGATGGTTGTAAAAAGGAACCAATCCCGAAGTATGCACCGGAATCACATATTAATCCCGGATGTCATTTACTCTACCCTCCTGGTACGTTGAAAACCTGCATCAACAGAATAAAAATCTGAGTGGGCAACTTTCATTCGCAAATTAAAAATGAAGTACTAAAAAATATGTCAACAGTTGAAAACAGCTATTTGCAATAAATTACAGAAACAGATACAGCTATAGGATGATTGTTTGAATTGGGTAATGACTATAAAACAATTACGTTATCACGTATCTAAAATTTCGAGAATAATGAATTTTGTTTTCTAACTTCTTCCAACTTTTTCAATCACTAATCAGAGTTAACTTTGAAATAACTTTCGAACACAGAATAAGTCTTGTATGTTCATAAAATTAACAGTTAGTGACATTAATATATCATTACAAACAATATACTTACGAATTAGACTGAACTTCCGGGATTGAAACATGCAGAGCTTTTACACTTTCTAACTTTTTTTTCAAAAGATTTCCTGAAAAAAACTTTCACATTAACACATAAAGGATAATACAACGTTGGCTTCCATAAGAAGAACGAAGTTTCAACACTAATCAGCTGTCATACAACTGTGTTTTGAATCAAATGATATGAACCAGCGAACAAAAGTATGAACCAGCTTTGAAGAGGTACAGCAGTTGACGTGCATTCATGACACTAATGAAAAATCAGTTATGCTCAAGACGGTACAGTCCCCATAAATCTCGTGAAATGGATACTTCTGTGATTCTTAAATTTAATTTAATATATATTTTAATAAATCTATATACAAGACCTTTTTCAGCAGCCCTAACATTTAACATTTCTTTTACTGAGTTTGCCGAAGATTCCTCAATATTCCTTATTTCTTCTTTAGAGGACAGTGATTTTTTTGACGATCTCAGCCGAGGTGGACTACCAATCGTTAACAACAAATCTTCCACACCCTTTGCTAATTCATCTGAAAAAAAAGAAATTATTTAAATAGGGTTAACATATTTCTAAAATGTGTTGTAATATTAAAAGCATGAGTAACTAAAGAATAACAAGATACTAAGTCCTTCTTAGCTTCATTGCATTCTATGGATACAAACTTTTTATATTCCAAACCCTATGACACATATGTATGTATTGTCGTCAATCCTTCCAGCTTTAAAATTTCCATTAAAAGAAGGAATTTTCACTGACTGCAATGTTTCCATTAATTAATATGAGAGAAATCATACCATCATCACTACTTTCTTCGATCGTTCTCGTACTTGATTCACTTAAATTCGTTATTCTTCTCGTCTTTCCAAGCAGATATTCACGTAAATCACTCCTATCTTTATACCGAGTAAGACGCTTTTGTAGTGCTTTTGTCATTAAACCATTATTTTCAATAATCTCACCTGCAAATTATGTAACAGACAATATTCTTAATCCTTTTTCTAAAATGATTCAAGTTACGCCATCCCGCAGTACTTTTGTAACATTCTGGAAACCTCCAATATTGTATTCCTAACAATTCAGGAAAGCAGGAAAAATTTTGACTATAATAACTCGATCAACAAAGAAGTTAAAAACAAGATCTGTGAAGAATTATATGAATAAGAAACCTTGCCATTACCAAAAGATGTGTTATGACGGATGAAAATCCGGATAAAAATTTTGAAATTTTATAAAGCTAAGATGCGAGAAATTATATTAAATTTTGTACATAAAACTCTACTTCCCATAACACTGCTGAAACAATTGTGTATAAACATATGAAAGAAATATTTACCAAACTCGAGAAGAAGTCGAAGCATTGCTGGACAATGATATCTGAACGGCTCCAACTTTTCATTTACTGCTTGTAGTTGGACACATTTCTTTTCCAATTGTTTCATCGAATCATTTATTTTCTTCAAAGAAGCAAAATCTTGGAAATAATTATAAACTTTATAGATTGATTTGTATATATTTTACTGTTCGATTGATGTTTGCTCTTAAGTTATCTATCAATCAATATATATGTCATATTTAAATCAAAAACAGCTTTAGATTATGCATATCGTTTCTCAATAAAGGCAATCAACAATGTTTATGAAAACACACAAACTGCAGTGAAAAGTTTCGAGTGATTTCAAAAATTTTCCCAGATCGCTGCAGTGATATTTCCGGCTCATGAAGTAGAAGGATTAAATCGTAAGGTTTTTCAATTTTACATTCGTCTTTAAGACAAAGGGGTAATAAAATTCTTGAGTCACAATTCGTATTCATTTGGAATAAAAGTACGAAAAAACTAATTCTTAAGCTTTTATCATTTATAATTCTTCAAAATTGGTAGCTGACAAAATCTACCGCAGCAGCTTCCACACTTTTCAAATATTTTGTAAGCAGCTCTTGACGTGCTTCCTTTTCAGCCATAAGATTTTCCATAGCGACTTTGCAGGTATCATGATATTTCACTGATTCTTCGATTAAACGCTAAAATTTACTCAAAATCTAAGTAGTATAAGGCGTCGTGTTTTCTTACTTTGCAACACAACAATCCAAAGCCCACCATTACTTTGAAAACATTGATTCTCTGATGTTATCTCATTCGGAACAATCAGATTGAAAGATATATTGCAAATCCCTCGGAACATAAATGTGGATAAGTACGAACCTGATTCCTTCGTGCTGTAGCAACCACTTCATCATACTGTCTTTTTAGACTGTCATGATTGATCTGAAATTCATATGATCTCTAGAGTTGAATTCAAATAACAAAAAGCTAGCAAAAACTTTTAAATTTATAAATTGCAAGGCGAAGAGATTACAAAAATAAAAATAAAATCACAGATATACCCGCAAATTCTCATACTCTGCATACAATGATGTGTGTTCTGCTTCCAACTTTTCTAGCTTTGAACGTCTTTCATCAATGTATTTAGCCTGTTCTTCATTTATTTTAGATACCTGTTCTGTTTTCTACAAAAAAAAAAATCGTACAAGCGTTTCTAACTGAAAAAGAATTGAAAATTTCCAGAAGAAAGTAGGTTCAGAAATCAGTATTAGGAAGAATAAATTTCTCAATAACTCTTCGTCACTACCACATCTTTTATCCCTTTGTTGTCGTCGGATTTTAATGAAGCAAACAAATCGCAATAACCTTTAATTCCTTCTGAAGATTTTTAAACTGCCCACTTAAGGAAGCTAAAGCTTCCTCAGCGACAATAGTATTCAGTCTCATTGCCGCACATTTTGGACAATCTTCTTGTGACTCCTCTGTGCTAGTCCGATTCTGCAATCCGCTAGAACAGGCCTCACTCAAACAACCTTCCGAAAGCTGTAATAATTCATTAATAATTTGCAAATTTCTGGTAACACCATAGCAGGCATCATCTGTACCCATTGTTATCCGTGCTTGAAACATTCTGGGACCTCATCTTTATTTAAAGAAAGGATTAACAACGCTTACTAATGATCTCTTATGGCCTTACTTTAAATTAATTATGTTAGATCGCCGGAAATTTGTCTTTTAAAACTAATAATTTAGTAAAATTTCCCTCAAAATACAACTAAAAAATTTCCAAAAAAAAAGAACTGTCAGAAATGACCTCATCCCCTATTTAAATAGAAAAATGACTCAAAAAGATCAATAAAATAATTTAGAAGCAAATAAACATAGTGTTTTGGAGGACATACCCCAGAAAAAGTAGAATGAGTTGACGTCGATGAGGTCATTTGCTACATCCTGCAAAGCCTTGAATTACAGAAATAATAATATCTACCTCTTCAAATACAAATATATTAAAAATTGAAAAATAGTGGAAGCAAACTTACTGGAAATTTTACTAAACTAAGGTAACGAAATCCATAACGTACCATGGGCATAACTTATTCTTCAGAAGTATATCTACATCCTGTTTTACGCAAAACCGACTATTTTGATCTAAACATCTTGGTGGAATCGAGTTTTTGAAGGACTATCAACGTGATTCAACTTGTTAAGGTGGAATAAAGGAGAGCACACAGTCCAGAAGTAACGCATCCAACGTTTTATTAATTGGTTGTCTCCACAAGTAAAAAAAGGTTACTCGTCTGACGACAAGTTTTAGAATCTTTTATAGGTTAAGAATCCGTTCTAATGACAATACGAAGAACATGGGAAATAGAGGTAAACCTAATGAAAAATCTTATTGCTCCAAATTCTGACTCCTTGCAAGCCGTCACTTTCACCTCAGTTCTTAAAGTCCGGGTCGGTTCCATGGAAACTCAAGAAAAAGTGAGTAGTCCTCATTATTGATCTGTCCGAACAGTGAAAAACTTGCTTGAAATTCCACCAAATCAATTCAAAAATGCTACCGAAACTGACCAAAACTATCGCCTGAGAAATCTTGCTGGTCGTTCGAACGAGTGTATGGAGTCCGAAAATTATATGAACCAACACAGCGAAATGTTCGGACGCGTTGGTTCGGGCGCCACGTACTTTTCTTCGATATAGATTGGACAGAGTGGAGAGAGAGAATGAGTTGCCGGTTAGGATAGGTTGTTGTGGTGCCAGCGGTGGTTCGAAAATCTGTTGAGTCAGTCTCCTGCCGCAGTTCCTGAATCCTTCCATTATGAGCCATCTGGAAGAGGAGTGCGATTGATTTTGGGAAATACGTACTGAAATACTCTCGAATTCAACTTAAGGGCATATTTTAGCTTCCCCAAAATGAATAATGCAAGGTAGTACAACAGTAGCTGTTGACATTACGCACCCAGTGAAGTGCACGTTGATCGACTGGATACGCTTATCCGATCACGTGGTTTGTGTTCAGCTTGCAATGGACATACGAGTGATATTCGCATATATATTTAGATTAAAGTTGCGTAGGTGCTGGAATATATTTCTTAAAATGATAATGTATCCGTGGAGATTGAATGTTTATTTGTGTGTGAGTTCTTCAGACTTGATTTATCACGAAGTGCTAATCAGGGAAATTTCATCACGCTTTATTGTCTAGAACTATATTATGACTTGATATATCATTAAGTGGAGTTTTACAGTACACTTAATGACGGAGTTTTCGAAATTGGCCTAAGGTGTCATTTAAAGTACTTAAGTTTGAATTTGGGCATGTACTTGGTTTCGAATCCGACCAGTCCGATCAACTTTACTTTTTACAACGAAAAATTAGTTACAGCCGTCGAAGCAAAATGCATTTCAAATCAGTTAGTTGCGGAAGAAAATTAACTCGCATTAAGCATCAACAAATTGAAATAAAAGAAATACCTTTGAAATGATAGTCCAGGCTTTTGGACATTAGTGCAATCCCAACCAAATTTGTTGTTTGTAAGAATTTGATTCTAGTCTTGATGAAATTTATATGAATTTGAGGAATATGTGATAGAAGTGAACAACCAATTGGAAATCGGAAAGCCATGGCGCATCCAGCGACGTTATGCGCAGTTTCGGTATATCGTTTCGCTTCCGGTCGTAGTTATTAAGTGACCTTTGATTTCTTTCTTGGAAGTCACAAAGATATCTTATTTTCCATTTATTACTGAAGTAGGATGTTAGATTTTTCAGGAAGTTGAATTCACAGATTGAAAGATTTGGTGCCGAATTAGGATTTCCTCCAAAAAAATTTATTGGAAATGCGAAAGAAGCATTCATCAAACAACGCATGCTGGCACTTCAGGTCTAGATTCTTCTTAATTGGAATGTAAAAGAATTAAAAGATTAGGAAGATTGCTGCTAGGAAGTTCAACCGCTGGAAAAGGTTCAGTAATATCACCATGTAATATACTTCCAACTTGCTAAGCAAGCTAAGACGTTGCTGTCTGCTACTCTTACTGGCTAAACAGAGTTTGACTGGATCTGGCAGTTGATAGAAGCTTGTAATGTAATTTCTTCCAGTTGTAATGCTGTTTTCTGTTTTAAATCTCTGTTGCAAATATATTATATTAGATAATTGCAGGAATTTTTGGATGCCATCTGCCTACATCCAATCTTATATGCATGTCCAGCAGTAGCTAGTTTCCTTGAAAGTTCCGTCGAAACTTACATTGGTAAGGTAGCAGTTTAGCTGTAATCTAGGCATTATGAGTTAAAAAAGTGACTGGCAGGTCGTAGTGCTTGTTCAAATATCTATGTACTCCTGAATTTGGGTGAGCTTATTTAGCAGATATAAAAAGTGCTTGAGCCCAGTTATGTTAGTACCTGATAATTAGGTCACTGCTTTCTGGTTTTACTGTTTATCTAAAATTCAAAGTTCAAAAAG